TCTCTAATCCACCCTAGGATGGGCTAGGCTATGATGCGGTAACAAAGAAACCCTGAATGGAACATCTTGGTTAGCTGAATGTTAATTAAACACTATCAGGTAGTACTGTATCATAAAAATACTACAAGAAGCTCAAGCAAACAATCTTTGATGATTCAAGTCACCTTAGAATCCCAAAGGAGTTCAGCATCTATTGTTGTTATTGTTCCACACAGTTATTTTTATAGCACATAGACATTACAAAGTGCTTTCATATATTTTATTTAATCTTCACAATAACTCTGCAGTGGAAGTTATTAGCCCCATTTAATGGATGAAGAAAAGGAGGACCAGAAAGATTATTTGCCCAGTGTTACAAAGCTTGAGAGCAGTTGCGCTTACACTTTCCTTGGCTATCTCTCTACCAATGGCCGTCAGTAATTATTGTCCAGTTCTGCAGATGTCACTAGGTGGCTGAATCCTACTGACCTTTGGAGGGACCTTTTATAGCCTGAAATATGGCTATAAAAATAATAAATCCTTAATAACAAGCTTATTTTTCTTGTGTTGTCACAAGGATTCACTAGAGAACTAAAAGTAATAAAGTTCTAGATATTCATTGTTGAGGACTCTGGATAATTAGGAGTTTATTCTGTTTATTTGTTACATTTTGATCCACATAGTCTAGAAACTTCCTTAAAAGTGAAACATCAATATCGATTTAAATTGTTCATTTAGCTTGTTTACTGAGGTTGAGGTAAAGCAGACACTTGCCATATTTTAGATTTGACTTTCTGTTTTCTCTTTTAGAATTTTTTTTAAAGAGAATTGTTATTTAAAAAAACATATGTCTTGTAAAAAGGGCTGGAAAATGTACCTTTATTTGGTTGGAAGAATGTGGAATCTTCTATTTTACCACCTCTTTTCTTCTCCTCTTTAAGAAAAAAGAATAAGAACAGCCTAGAATATCACATGTACAGGTGACTTCATGGCAGGACAACTGCGTCCTGTCCAGGGGACCTAAGCAGAAGTCTGCTGGGGAGGGGATGGAAGGTGCTTCTCCTGGAAGACTTCAGGGCAACATCCTCATCCTCTTCAGGTGTCTGCTCCTTCCCACTAAGACCTGCCTTGAACACCCTGTTTAAAATTGTAGAGCCTGGCACATACTTGGCACTCAAAGTGACATTTTCTGTCCTTTTAAGCTTGGAGCCTTGACATTATTGCAGGGAAACACAAAACTATATTACTCATCATACTCACTGATTTTTAGTATCATGTTTATGAGCAAGAAAACATCTGGAGCAATTACACTTAATTTTTAAAAACCATGAACTTCCCAAGTTTGTTCCTTGGATGATTGGGATTCTACTCTGATGGTGTGCAGTTGTTTTATATGAGCCTGTGACCCTCAAACAGCTCATCAGCCATGGAAGGAGTGAATTCATCACACACGGTCTAATTTGCCCTTCACAGAGATATTTAATTTCCAACCTAGGGGCCTTGCTCAGTTACATAGTATCTGGCAGAGGGATGGCAACCTAGCAACCGGGTGGACCACTGCCTCCCCCAAGCAGCGCTCTGGGGTAGAGGGCACAGGATGTTAATTATTTACAGTCGCTGATGAGTGCCTAGGCCACTGTCTAATGGAGCCAACTGCCTTTTCCTCAGAAGTAAACACAGATGATAATGTTTGAGGACTTGAAAAAATATGCTTGTTCAATTATATGATACTTCTTGTTGGGTAAAAAGCAGCTTGTAAAGCTAAATGATATTAAATCTAATCTAAATAAATCAGGTATTATTAGAATGATTAATATTTCTAAGTAGCTGTAGAGAAAAAGAAAGTTCCTATGGCCAGGATTCTCACCTGGCCCTGGTCAGCCTGCCCACTGCACACTGCAATACGTTATTATTGACTCTATGTATAAAGAGCTCTGCCCAGGGCTCTGGGCTGCCGGCTACAGGAGAGCAGAGGCTGGAGTGCTGGCAGCATCACGGGCTGAAGGCTCTCCCTGGCTTCTCCTGCTTTCCCTCCCAGTAAATCTCTTATACATCTAGTCCTTCCTTGGCACTTGTTGCTTGCTGGGCTGGTCCTAACATGCAGGCATTGTGCCAGCACCTTTTCCTGTGTACAGGCCATCAGGCAGCTTTAGCATATTGGGAGAAAGAAAGTATTGAGTGCCTGGTGGCTGTTGGCTGGTTTTTGAACATATGTGCATCTACCTTCATCCTGAGGACTACAGTACACCACGGAGGCATTTTGCAGAAGGATGAAATAACTGGCAAACAGGTGGGACAAGATTCCATGACACTTGGGCTCGTGCTATTTATGTGACCTGATTGGTGAGATGATGAGACCTGGAAAAACTGAGGCTATAAACACAATAAAGATATCATACTGAGCTAATAATAACTGCTATTGTAAGCAAGGTGACCCTTATGTTTAGTTTCTATAGCAAGAATATTAAAATCGTGTTGTATTTGTAAATTATGCAAAATAGTAGCAAAACATATTTACTGCTTGCTCTATGCCAACACTACAGCCCCTTACTTGATAACTCTCAGGCGTACACCCTCTCAATATTCATTACCCCCTTCCATGCTAATACACCCTGCTTTTGTTTGAGACCACAGTGTGCCAGCCCTAGGTAGTAGCTTATGTCACACAGTCATGACACTCCCATTCTCATTGTCCCAGCTTCTTTTGCTCTAACAGGTGGCCACACAACTCAATCCTGTCCAGAAGAACTAAGAAGTCTGCTGGGGTGTGGTTGGAGGCTGATTCTCCTCAAAGACTACAGAGCAACAACGCCATCCTCTTTAGGTAAGACCTACCTTGAACACCTGCTTAAAATTGTAGAGCCTGGCACACACTAGGCACTGAAAACATTTTTTTTTTCTTTGAAGGGATGTATGAAAACAAAATAGGGAAAAATTGCTGGAGAAAAGTGCAGAGTAGCAGTTACACATGCCCTGGGATAGGAATGCATGTGGAGTGTTTGGTGAATAGGAGGAGCTGGTGTGAGCGGAGGGGCATGTGGAGGGCGGAGAATGAGAGCTGAGAGTGGAGGGACATGGAGAGCCTGACTGCACGGCCGCGCGGTCGGGAGTGAGGCTTTCAGCTCATCCTCCGAGGGAGCAGGGAAGCTGAGGAGGAGCTCTGAGCACAAGGACAGCCTCTGCCTCCTGCTTAACACTGCCGTCTGGCTACTCTGAGAGAGTGCAGGGGGCCAGGTAGAAGTGGGGAGGACCGTGAGGAAGTGCTGCCCGAATCCAAGCTTGTGATGGTGGTGGCTTGGAGCTTGGTGCCAGCAGAGAGGGACAGAGAAGTGGTCAGGTTCTGGGTGTATTTGGAAAGTGTAGTCAACAAGATTTGCTCGCAGACTGTGGATGGATGGAGCAAGTTTTGTCAGAGCAACAGGAAGCAAGGTGATCGGGAAGACTGCAGGAGGCAGGGGTTTGGGAGGGAAATCCAGGCACTCAGTTCGGAGCATGTTTAAATTTGAGATGCCTATCATATATCTGTGTGAAGATAGTGAGTAGTTAAATGTATATACAGCCCTAGAGAAGTCCAGGTCAGGGATATAGATAGTATTTAAAGCTATGAGTCTGGGAGGGTTCACCTAAGACCTGAGTTTGGGTTTAAAAGAAAAAAAAAATGTTCAAGTGCAAGGATGAGCCCTGGGATGTTCCAGTAATGGTGCTACTAATGTGCTGGGCACTGCCACCTTGTATGCAGGTGCCATCTATCCTTTATACAGATGTGGCAAGGGAAGTACTCTGAACCTGACTCAGTAGACGGGTCGCCAATTCCAGGGCTAAGTCATCTGTCCAGAGGCACACAGATGGTTGAGTGCTCTCCTCCTGACTGCTGAGTCAGTAGCTTTGATGACTTCAGGGCTATTTCCTATAGCGACTCGACTTACAAATCTTGGCATCAAGCTTTGTCTTCTCTTCCCCATCCAAGCAGCCGTTCATTTCAATTTTCTCAGTGAGCTTCAGTACAGGCGTCCTAATCTTTTACCTTCAACTATTACTACTGCCTTCTAATAGGATTTCCTGCCATGAGACCCTGCCTACTCTAATGCATCCCTTATCTTTCTAAAAATAAAGCTGATTGTGTCATCTTCCTGCTTATGAGCCTTACTAGTAATTCCCTGTTATCTGCAGTCGATAATCCAGCCTCTTTAGCTTGGTTCACAGGAGCCACCCAACCTGGCTGCAGGCTCCTCTTCCAGCCTCATCTCTGCTGCACTCCCCCAGCCCTGCCTCGCACGCCAGTCACTGTCCTATGACATGAACCCTCCGAGTGAGATGCCACACACTCCTGTGCAGCTCGGCTTCATGCTCCTTCCTTTCTGTGCCCACACTGGGTAAGCCCCAGTAATTTTGACAAGAAGACGTGATGGCAGGCACTGTGCCTGGTTCCACATCTCGGAGGAAAGCTTTCAACGTTTCACCTTTAAGTGTGATGTCTAATGGACAGTTGTTTTAGAAACCCTGCATCAGATTAAGGAAGTTCCCTTCTTTTTGTAGTTGCTAAGAATTTACTACTGTTGTCATGAATAGGTGTCAGGATTCATTCTCCCCTTTAATCAATCATTGATTTATTTTCTGTTGTATTAACTTTATATTCCCTGGATAAATCCAACATGATCTTCATGTGTTATTCCTTTTTCATACACGTTTCTGGATTCAGTCTGCTACCATTTTGTTTACCTCATGACCCTACCATCCATGAGGTGGCGCAGGGGGAACACTTTTTGGAGAGGTGATCAAAAGCAACCTGAAAAAGTTTCATTTCCACTTCTGTCTGGGGTTAGAGGTGCTGACTGGGTGGTGAGGACTGGCAGTGGAGGGGGCGTCGGAAGCTCTGTATTACTAGAGAAAAGTGAAAATTTCATTACTGATAACTGTCATACTCAGTACGCAGTTCAGTACACATTTAGCCCAAACAAAAATTGAAGCAGATCTTATTGTTATAACTCAAAAGTTTTAATAGTGAAATAAAAGCCTAATACTTATAAATAAACCTGTTTAATGTTTTTAGTTTGCTAGTTCACCTTACAGAAAAAATAATGAATAGAAAGAAAAAAAGTCCCACAAAGCCCACAGAACCTCCTACAGAGAGCTTCTCTGTATCACGTCTGTTTATGACGTTGTCTCGGATGCTGTGATTAGACCGAGGCTGACGAGGACGGTCTTTTCCAGTTCCAGATAACTCTCGTAGTCCATTTTCAGCTCAGTCTCCAATTGCTCTTTTGACTTCTGGTATGCTATCTATGGGGGAAGAAAAAAGCAAGTCAGACCTATAAAAACTGACAGCTAGGAATACTGAAGAATGAGAAGAGGCAATTTTTGAACAGTTGGCCGGCCTGGCTGCTGCTCTCTGGGAGGGGGGCTGCGGGAGGGGCAGAGGGCAGGAGGAGGAGGAGCTGCTGGCTCTGAGGAGGACTGATGGAGAGAGGGGGCAAGTGGGCACAGAGCACAGTATCTGCGGGAGCAGGAGCAGACCAGGTGCGCAGAGGGGTCAGACGTGTGTTCTCAGGGTTGACCATCCCAGCCGGCCTGCGAGCTCATGCCACTGATGGAGGGAGGTGCACACTGAGAGGGGAAAGACGAGCAAGGAGCACCTGGTCGGCCCATTTTCCCAACACTCCTTGCTGAACAGTCTGAATAATCTGTTCTGCATTTTGAGCTGTCAGTGTTGTGTTAGCACTGCTCTGGTTTAATTACTGTGGCAATCTAACTCACTGTAATATCTGCAAAGGTAGTCATGATGTTCAAGAGTTCCTTCTTCCTCGGTGTCCTGTACCAGATTCCCCCTCTATCTCAAATTTTGCAGCTCCAGTGTATTATATTGTAGTAAAATGTATATCTATTTGCCTATATACTAGCTCCCATTTAATGAAAGTTTGTCAGGTTACTTACTTAACTGAAAACTTTCTAATAATCCTAATAGGTATCAACATTCCTATTTTAAAAATGAGAACTAAACCTCAGCAAAGATAGGAACATTACTCCAGATTTCATAGTTAAGTGGTAGAGTGGGGATTTGAGCCCACATGTCTTGATTCCATATTCCACCTGTTTTAATGTGTTATTCACCAAATAAAAAAATAAAATTCTATAAAATGAAAGTGTTCAAATTTTGAAACATTGTATGTACAGATGGTATTTAGATACCATTGTATCTGAAGGACTTTGAAATTATGGAAAATTTCAAAACTTAAATTGGATAGAATCTTGCTCTGTGTCCATGGGTAGTTCTCACCCACTGGTAGCCGGGGAATCAGAGAAATGCCCTCTTGACTGTCATGAGAACAAGAGGAGAATGTGAAAAGGCATCATTTTCCTGTTGAAACTGTGGACTAAGCCATACATACATATTCATTTCTACTGGGGTTAGAGGAAAGCAACCTTTATTTCTGAAATTTACTTACAACTTTTTTCTTCTCCATTTCCAGTTCAATTTCTTTCTTTTCTTGCTCACGAATTTTCCTGCGCTGTTCTACATATTCCAGATGCTTGACTTCTCTTTCAAAGTAGTGGTTGATGCTCGATACCTATTAGAAACACAGGCACACAAGAGGGGAGCCCACATGGAAGCCCCTGCATTGTTGCCAAGGCTCTGGAAGAATTCCTGCTGCTGGTAATTCACCGGGTACATAGCCTGACCTGGGGCACTACCCGCAGGCCCGCTACCAGAAGGGCCAGCTCAGCTGGGGTTGCTACTGTGCTCAGGTTCAGGGTCCTGTGCATGGGCGGATTCCAGGAAGAGAATGAGGTTTGGAAGGAGAAAGCAAAAAATTGTCGTTTTGAAGAAATATTCTTTTCCCCTTTCTTCCCTCTCATTTCAAAGACTAAGAGAAGTTTCATATTATCGGTCAAACTTGGAAAGCCCAGTTGAGGCAATCAGCGTAAATCCCAAAGGGACTGGAAGCAGAGCTCAGTCCCTGGTCTTCTGAAGGGCTGAGTGTGGAGCCTGAGCATAGAAGCAGGGAAGTCAGCAGGGACTGTGGGCCAGGAGGCCAGCGGAGGGAGAGCCTTTGCCCGCCAGGAACTAGGCTGGTAGTTTTGGGACTTGAACAGGTTGCAGTCTGTGTCTTTAATGTTGGCTATTTATATATTTATGTATTTCTATCCGTTGATTTTCTTTTTATAACCTCATTATTAACATTTCCTGAAACCATGGGGTGCTGTATGGAGGGGCAGAATATTGCCACTGCAGATGTGCTGCCTGCCATACGCTGTGCTGGGGGAGAAAGGGGCAAAAGTGGGTGATGGAGAGAGGCATGAAAATGTCCACTGGGCCCTCTGGGTAGGACATTGCTGAAATTAGATATCAGTCACAATTTAAAAATAACAATATTATGAAGCCCCAAATCAATTCTCGTGTGACTCTGGGCTTCACTTACTTGGCCTCCCTCTCACTGCATGTTTGTTTTTTTCTAGCTTCAAACTGTTTAACTCATACAACAGAAATACATCCCCTTACTTTTGACTGTATGATTCTTTTGTTCTCTTATAGAGAAAAACTTCTGTCACTTCTCAACACAATTTTACAACATGCCTCAGCAATATCTGATCACATAAATCCTCAAAGTGCAAAGTTACTAACCTCATTGGTGGAAGGGTGACTTAATGTCCAAGGAATTTCCAATATATACAGTGTTCCATAATAATCAGCTATGGCTATAAATTGCTGCTTAGCTGAAAGATACAAAAAATGGGGGGAGAGAACAACTCAGCCATCAGAGAGCCACCTTAGAGGTTACACAGGAAGTGTGTGTTTGTTTTGTGGTCTCCCAAAGGACCTGCTGCGGTTACAGGCATCTTGGCATTTTCATCAGCTGTTCATGACTGGGGACCATATTAGCATGTAAAAGTCATTTTTTCCAGTTGATGAAATGAAAGCCAAGACCCTGAGCTTTTGTCAGCCACCCTCCCCATCTCAACTCTTGCTTTCTTGGTGTTTACATAAGGACTGTGGCTCCTAGCTGGAGTGGTCCCTCTCCATGGCTGGCCCACTGGGCAGACTTAAGAAGAAAGCAGAGACAAAATGTGAAAAGATTTTCAAAGAAAAACCATGAAGCTAGTTTTCACCAAAGACACAGTAAGGGCTAAATGATGTCCTTGCCCAGATGAATTTCAGACACAGCCAGAAACAGGGTTTTATTATCATGATATAAAAACAAATTGCTGCCTTTGATTATTTAAAATGGATATAAAACACCAATGTATTTGAGAATTTTAATCTTTTTTTTTCATTATGGATTTTCCCCCCTCACTTTCTTCTCATTTTCAGAAGATCTGGTTCAAATTGCAAACTCCGAGACTCATAATCCCTGTAGGTATACAAAAGATTGTTTTTTAGCAAAGATGGAGAAAACATTTTGGTGACGCATGGCTAAGCAGTGGCCAGACCGACACTCTTGAGACTCTGAAGACTCAGTTTCTTTCTGAGACAGAAATGAATAAAAAGACAACTTGATGCCTTCACAAATTAGGGAACAAAGGGAAATTTCTTTTAAAAGATGCAAATATACTGGATTTATATAGAAAGTAGTGCTCGGGTGAAACCAAAATTAGGATAAAGGACATACAAATTACTTTTCCATAGACACATCCTTGAATTTCTGCTTGCTTTGTTACACATTGTTTTTCCATATTATTAGTTCAAATGTTAAAGTTTAAATAGTTATATGACTCCAGAGAGTAATTTGACTTCATGAAGAGAATTGCTAGATATGGTCCAGAGGAGAGCCACAAAAGTGATAAAATATTGAAAATCTGTGACATAATGAAAAATTAAAGATACAAAATGTATTCTACTTGGAAAAGAAGCACTACAAGGTAACAAAGATTTAGGGATCACCCCATCTGACCTGGAGAAGATGAGGATTTTTTTTTCATTTTGTGGTTCCAAATCAGCCTTGGGATACAAATGTGTCTCAGAAATAATAATTGACAAAGAAAACAGAGAAATTCAGGTTGCATCCAACATTTCAGTGGAGGACAGAAAAGAAGGGGAAAGATGGAATGGGGAGAGAAGGGAGGAGTGGAAAATGGAAGAAAAAGGATGGGATGAAATGGAAAGGAAAACAAAAACTTGAGAAAAAACACCGGAGGCTTTCCAAATGAAAGTCAGACTGCTCCTGAGTCACCCCCAAAGGGCAAAATGACTTAGCTCATTCAATCAGAATTAACATACCCGAGAAAGTCCGGGGTTTGATGTAGGTGATCATACTGACACAGATGTTTTGTGACTGGGCTGGTTCGTGGGTTTTCTCCAGAAGGTCCCAGATATCGATGTTTCCATCTTCTCGGCCAATATAGAAGACTCCTGGCCTTGTCAGGGACCAGTGCCCTGAGGTGTACCTTTTTGGTGCACAGGATGACTGAAGGAGGGGTCCAGTCTTTAAACAAAATTTTTAAAAGACAAATTAAAAGCATTTGTTATTGTTTGCAAGAGATTCACAATGATTTTCTTTAAGTAGCATTCATAGCTATGATCATATTACAGAAATTACACCCACTCACAAGTATTACTTTTTTTTCTTGTAGGATTTTTATGTATTCCCAGCTCTTTTCTTTCCTGTATGTTTGTATAACATATAAAAAAAATATTTTAGTTGCTTTTTAGAAAGGATCAAGTCCTCCAGTACAGCTGTTGATGGTTTTAATAATCCAACGGCTGCTGAAGTCCATTGTTATTTCTATGGAGATTGGTGGACATTAGGTAAGACCACAAGGAAATTTTGCTTATATCTTTATTTTGCTGTCAGATGTCTACTTCCCATGAAAATAACCCTGGTAGCCAGGAAAAGCAAATAAAAAGTCAATTCCAGTTGGGAGCTGCAAGGCTTATAAATATTATTAGGAAGAGATTTTAGTCCAGCAAAGCATCAAAAAAAAAAACATCTCTTTTCTCTACCATGAGGTAACTTGCCTTCTTTGGGAGATTTGCATAGAGATACATGAATGTGCTTTCACTGTCATACTCCGCTGGCGACCAGGGGTACTCATCTATCTACTTACACCTGCAGGAACTAAACTCAACTGGGGAGCTGTCCCTACCCTCCAGTACATGCCTTAGAAACTTTCCACTGGGGAGTGAAGAATGTCTCAGATGGGTGGACTACTCAGAGGTGAAACTCCAAACCTGTTCTTGCCAACTTCACCTTTCTGTGAATGACCAGGTTCCTGACCCCTGCATAGTCTTCAGACAATCTTGCCTAACTTTCCCTTTTCCTTTTCTTTAAATGCAAAATGGATACTTGCTTATTGTAAAAGAAATCAAACATGCAGACATACATTGGTATAAAGTAGAAGTCCTTTTGTAGATGTACACTTAAGTAGTTTCCAACTGTTTAAATGACAATTATGTACATATAGTCACAGAATTTTTTTTGAGTATATGTGCAAGTTAGAGTTCCATAAGCAAAAGTATAGGTTAAAGGAGTCATGTAAATATTGGTTTCCCTCCCTCAGGAAAGAAAAGCAAATGGCATATGTATTTATTTATTTAAATCATATGTGTATATAAATATACATTACAACTGTGAATGTGTATATATATATATATATATATATATATATGTATTTCAGATTTTTAAGGTCTCAAATTTCTCACCAAAGAGACATGTCATACTGATCTCCCCACATTCTTGCACTGGATTTTATCTATCTTCCTCGTTTTTGTCAATTTAGCTCCACCAGCCTGGATCCTGACCCTCCTAATCGTGACCTCCAGTTTCTTGGCACTGCCTCACTCTGACCCGTGCATGTCTCTGGTCTGCCTGGTGAGGGACGGACACCTTAGCTTTCTTGCTTCCATTTTCTGAACCAGCTCACATATTTCTGGTGCAGAAGCAAACATGACAGACCCAGCGTTCCTCCTTGCACTTCATACAGATCCCACCTTGTGTCTTAAGGGACATAAATCAAGCCAGCTGCCCACAGTATATATTTCTAAGAAAAGACTATTATTTTGCAGACAACAGGAGTCATGTGAATACTGGTTCCTTCCCTCAGGAAAGAAGAGCAAATGGCAGTGTTTTCAAAGGGCTCACAGTGGTTCTGTTGACAAGCTGGAACCCAGGCCATCTGTTCCAATTTCTCTAACAAGTGTCCCAAAGGCTCTGTTACACCAGAACAGTCTATTGTTCCTATTGTTTTTCTCAGTAACAAAGGACCACCCACCCATTCCTCCATTTCACAGGCAGCTTACCATCACACCTTCTTTCCAGATGGCCATGTTCCATCCCCCGATAGTGAGAATAATGTCCTTGTAAAAAGGTGACCTCTGAACAGTGTGCACAGCTCCATCATGGACAGTGTAGAGGTTCGCTGGCTTCTTTGCTGTTGGAGTGGAAAAAGCCATTTCATCTTCAGTAATGCTGTTTACATACTTTCAATGAAGAACAAGCAGACCTCTGACTGACAGTCAGGTCCCAATTAATGAGGGCCAAGAGTGGACAGCTAGAGAGAGGTCAGTGGAGGTGTATGAATCTGTCAAGGAATAGCTCTTCTTCTCTTTCTGGAAAGTCCAGGGAATTTTCCATCAAGGCCACTTTTCAGGCTCAGAAGAACATGTCATGTTCTTACTCATTTACTCACTCATCAATTCTCTCAGTCAATAAATATTTGTAGGTTGCCTATATGTACTTATAAATACCATAGGCAGCTTGGAAAACAATGACTAATAAACAAACACGATCTTGCCCTCATGGAGCTTACTCTCTAGTGGGAAAGACAGATAGATATGCAATAAACAAATCCCAAAGTATGTAATACAAAATGTGAAAAGTGTCAGGAAGGAAAACATTACAAGAAAGAATAACAAGAGACATTTGCAATTTAGACCAAATGGTCAGAAAAACCTTCTCTGCAGATGAGTCCTTTAGGCTTGAGCAGCAGTTCAGCATGAGAAAATTGTGGTATCGAGGAACATTCCAGAAAGAGGGAACAATGAGCACCTGAGGGGAGAGGTGTCTGGTGCTTGTATAAATTTGGGGAGGGCAGTAGGACTGGAGTCAGATGATCCCAGCATGAGACAGGAGGGCCCAGACCATGCAGGGCCTTGTAGGAAAGGAGTTCAGATTATATTCTAAGTGTAATGTGTTTTTATAAGTCCTGGAGGCCTAGAAGATGATCTGATTGACATTTCCAAAAGGTTCTTTGGCTGCTGTGGGGAGAATGGGTTCAAGGCAGGTAAAAACAAAGACAGAATATGGTAGGAGGCTGCTGCAGCAGTTCTGGTGAGAAAGGATGGTGGCTTGGATGAAGGTGCAATGGAGAAGAGTGGGTAATCGATAAATATTTGTGAGCTATAATTGACAAGACTTAGAGATGGCTCAAACGGGGTGGGTGAGAGAGATGAAGTGCTGAGAATGACAGCCAGGTTGCATGGAATTTCCATTATTGCAGCTGGGAAGTCTAGAGGGCAGGTCTGGGTGTTAAGAGTTCCCTTTAATCTCTATCCTAGACCTGAGTGTCCTCCTGCTCCCCTCATCTGTCTACCCAGTCATTGTTTGGGTTCCTCTTTCCCAGGCCTGAGTGCAGAACTGCCTTCTCCCCACTCCTTGCCCAAGCCCCAGGGATGGCCGTAAGAATAGGCACCCAACTGGCCAAACTACAGTGTCTGGCGACTTCATAGCAAAATTATGAACTTATTCTGAATCTCATTGTACTAATAGCTATGTGAAGGCTGCATTTTTGTTTTCTTCAGGACACCTGTGGGACATTAAGCAAAAAAAAAAAGAGCTACTAAATCTTGCAAAAAATTTATAAAGTAGAGTTTCAAAGAGATATTTGTCCACCCCTGCTCATAGCAACATAATTTGCAATAACCAAAAAGTAGAAGCAACCTACATGTCTATCAGTGGATAAAGGGATAAGCAAAATGTGGTCTATACGCTCAATGGAACATTATTCATCCTTCCACAGGAAGGAATTTCTGACATATGCTACAACATTGATGAACCTTGAAGATATGTTAAGGGAAAAGACAGGTACTATGATTTCACTTACATGTGCTGCCCACAGTAGTCACATTCATAGAGACAGAAAGCAGAATGGTGGTTGCTGGTGGCATAGAGGACAGAGGGGCTAGTATTCAAGGTGGGTAGAGTTTCAGTTTTGCAAGATAGAAAGAGTACTGGATGTTGGTTGTACAGCAAGTGAGTGTATTTAATACTACCGAACTATACACTTAAAAATGGTTAAGATGGCAAATGTCATTTTATATTTATCTTACCACAATTAAAATCATTTGAAAAAGCTTATAAACTAAAAATAAACAAAATAATTTAAGTGCAGCCTTTCTGGATTAAAAAAAAGACCAAGTTTTCTCTAACCAAAGCCCCATCTTGAAGACAGCACAGAAGACATACTTTCAGGGCCCACTTGAAGTGATCTGGAAAATTCTAGGGAAGGCAGGAGATCCCTGCAAATCAGCATCTTTCTTGTTGCTCCTCCTGTTTCTCACAGCCTTTGCTCTGTTAGCAGCGTGTCCCTAGGCTCCACCTCACCGTAGAGCAGTGCCGCCCTGGAGTCAGAAGCCCTCTGCAAAACGTAATGATTACCAAGAGCAATATCGACAGTCATCAGGAGCTGTGCTTTAAAATAATATCTTAGGGGTTCTCAGCCCATAATAGTTTTTCCTTCCTTTTGTCCAATGAAGACCTTAGTGCACTTCATCGATGAATGGAGCTGTCCTTTAGTTATTAAGTGGAGTGCCAGAGCCCTCAGGCCAGGGTGTTATAAGAAAGTTGTAATAGGCAAAAACGTAGTTTCCAGAGGCTTTATCTGAAGCAGGATTCAGTATGGTGATGTGGTTAAGAGCCCAGACTGCCCACGTTGAAACCCTACAGTGCTGGCCGCTACCCCACGGGGTCGCTGTGAGGATTAAAGAGCTAATCTATGGAGAGTGCTTGCAAGAGTGCCTTGCACAGGACATGAGCCGATTTGTGGGTAGAGTACATGAAATGATTTTGTCAACTGCCATTATTCAGCCTTCATTTCATTGGAAAGTTTGTTTGATTTGGCCTTCTTTATCACACTTAACTCAGTCAGGGAAATCCATCTTTCAAAAGTTTCTTAGGAGAGGAAATTGTCCTTCCTGCCTTGTTGTGCGTTTGAGGTAAGACCATGGGGTTTCCAGCAGATCAAGAGGGACCGGGTCCCAGTAATTGCCTCATCTTAACTCAGGAAATGTCCGTGGTGTTTATGAAAGACATTGGGCTGGTAGCTCCCAAGGAAAACACAGCCAGTTCCCGGAGTAATTAGGGCGTGCAATTCAAAGTTCAGTGCATGTACACATTGACTGGCCCTGAACTTCAGCCATTATTCAGTGGGAATAACAATGTCGTTTGGCTTTCCATGTTAAACAATACTTGACTGATGATTTTGAAGTATTAAAGTATTATGATGATCTTAAAGTATCTTTTAAATTGGTGGTTAAATTATTTCCCATTAAAAAAATGAACTAAATGCAAAGGAATCAAAAGCAACTCACCTTGTTGCTGACCATCCACAACCCATTGGTCACAAAGTCCTGGCATGTTGACCCCTAAGTCTCTCTCTCATATTTCCTGTTATATATCCTATTACCATGCCTACACTTTAGTCCTCACCATCTCTCTCTGGACTACTGCAATTGGTTATCAGACTTCCATGACATATCTCAATAGTAAATTAATTCAGACCTGCTTTTCTGACAGGATTTTCTGATTATACTGGTGGCACTGGGATAGGGTCCAAAGCTTAGTAGGGCACTCCAGGCTCTGCCTACCTGGACCCAGATGTCCCTCCTGGCACCTCTAGGGCTGCTCTTGCCCTCTCCATTGCTAGGCTTTGACCAGGAGACCTCCCTGTTTCCTAATCGTCATCATTCCTTTGGGTTTCTGTGTTTTTTGCATTTTTTTAACCCTTCTACCCAGAATGTCTTTCTTCATCTGGAAAATTGCAATCAAGACCCAGCTCAACTGTATCTCTCTTTAGTGAGACCTTGTCTTAACAGCCCAGGAGAGTCAGGTCCTCTCTAGGATTCCACATCGCTTCGTGTCTGCTTCCAGCCGTAGCAGTTAATAACAGCATCACAGTGCCATTTGTTTGTTTGTCTGACTCTCTGCACAGGTCATGGAACTCCTTTTGAGGGTAATATCTTGGTCATCTTTATATAGTAGGTTCTTAATAATGATTTAGTGAGGGGCAAAAGTAAGGAAGAAAGTGAGAAAACATCAGTGAGAATTAAACAAAGCTCTTGGTTCTTAACTTTATTGGTATTGGTTATGTTATAAATGGAATGAAACCCATTTAAAATAAATAAATAAACCTGCTTGTCATGAGGCCCCTGCAAAAAGTAGTTAAGGAAGATGGCTCCAGGGGGAGATGGGGCCCCAAGGAAACCTCTCACACCAAGAGGAACTGTGGGCCTCTGTGCATAACCAAGTCAGGCCACCAGGCTTGTGTCCCAGGGGTGTGGTGGGGACTGCTGCCATGTCATATAGAGTGCCTGGTGTGCAGCAAGTGTACAACTAACATCCATGAACTGTTGAATGAATTGGGACATGAATAAGCCTTAAGAAGTTGAATATAGTTTACTGTATCCGGCACATGTTTTGAGTTCATGGAATTGGGACTGAAAAGTAAAAATAGGTTTCAGTTCTGCATGCACTTGACCCTTCCTTGTGTCACATCTAATCCCCCTTTAGTGGCCCATTCTAAACATAACACACTTAATGTTGGGTTCCTCAACAGGGGGATACTATGTAAAAGCAGGAGTGCTTTGGTCTCTAGATAAAAGTGGCTATCCTGGTGGCACGGCTGACAAAGGAAACCTTCCCAGGCCTACGGTAGACTTTACTCTACAGAACCAGTCTCCATAGACAGAAATGAGGGAGTGAAGTTCGAGGTGAAGACTGGAGCCTCAGCAGTTGTTCCCTGCAGGCTTGGCTCTGACTTCTGACCCATTAGTCACTCACATGTCCCCTTGTCCCAACCACCCGCCCACAGGATTGGCCAGATCCTCTCTGCAAGCCTAGGCTGGCTGCCTCACCTCTCGGCTCCGTGGTGTTCTGATCATCTCAGCAGCTGCCTCTTCCTTTGTTCATGATTATTCCACACTTTGAAATATAGCTCAACTGTATTTTCATGCCATGATAAAATTCAAAACTTGAAAGTGAGTACTTGTAACTGTAGTGAATGCCAAGGCTCTGAGCCTACTAAACACAAAGAGCTGGGCATGTGTGGGTGCCCAGACTCCTGACTGTGATTCCTGCCAAACCGGGTGTGACCCTCAGACCTCTGCTTGGCGGCCCAGAGCCCGGGCCCTGGGAGCAGGGGAACACGTGGACACCACAAGTCCTAACCCAGGGGAAGGTCCTGCAGCCACTTCTCCATCCTGTCCTGATGTCTTCAAGAGCATTGTAAATTTAGTTTATAAATTCACATTGACTAATATTTTCCACATAGATGAGCTACCAGGTTGTTCAATTATTGAATTGACATTGCTATTTTTTAATTACTTGTCCAAGTGCCTCAGTCATTTAAGTATCATTAGATCAGTGCTCCTCAAATTTTAGGGTGAAAACAAATGACCTGGTGAATCTTATTAAAAGTCCACATTGAGATTGAGTAAACCTGGGGTAGGATCTAAGATCTGTACTTCTAACAAGCTCTCAGGTGGCAGCCGGCGTGCTCGTCTGCGGCCCTTGCTGAGACCAATAGGTGTACAGTCAGCACGTTAGGTGCCCTCCTCCCGTTAGCGAGGCCAAGGTCACTCAGCACCTTGTGGAAAAGGAACAGGTTATTCATAAAAGAGCAATCGGAGAAACTTACTCATAAATCGGCCAGTTTCAGGGTCTCTTTCCACTTTCCAATCTGTGTATATCACTTCACCTTCCTAAAAAGAATACAGGTTCCTTATGGTACAATGATGACTTAAGAGACAAAAGACTTTATGTTCATGTGGGAAGACTAACTGTAAGCATAACAGACACAAAGCGATATGTTAACCAAATGACAATTCGGTCAGGGGACGGGCAGGGGAAGGAGGCTCAGTCTGATGACTCGATTTTATATTGAACAAAAACATGAGTCTGCTGAGTTTTTCTCTACATACAGTGATGTGGAGAACATAGACAATTATGGAGATAATCTTTGTACACAAGTTCCAACTGCTGGGTTTCCAAAGTTTTTGTTATCTTGATAAGTGGGAAATTATCTTGATGGACTGAAAGCTCCAGGTGGGGAGGGGTCTGGTTTTACTTCCTTGGTGATTTGTTCTCAGCATGTTACAGTCAGTACATAGTCAATATTTGTGGAATAAGAAAGAGGGGATATGAATTCATAATGTGGTACTTATTCCTTCTTAAAGTTGTGAACAGGAAACACAAAGTTCCATTCAAATAACAGAACAAGTAATACATGTTCTAGTTCCACTTATGGCCATTTTAGGGAGAGGGAAAGGCAGAAAGACCTGGTGTAAAGGAGAAACAGACAGAGCCACACAAATGGGAAGGACAAACAGAACCAGTGAATGAGAGAGTTGGGAAAGGTTTAGAGAAACAGTGTAGTCCCATGGTGCCATCTTATAGATGCAAACACTGAGGCTCAGAAAGGTTAAGTGACTTACTCAAGGTCACCCAGTTGTCTCCTAATTCTAACTTTTTTTTCATTGTATAGTAACAGGAAAACACAGAGAAGGTTATGTAAAAAGAGAGGTTACAAGGACTCAGATGAGGGGATGAATTGGGATACGTTGCTAAGGGAAGGGAGATGGAAAAATATTTGATTCGTGCAAAGTGGAGAATAAGCTCACTGGGGCCAGGGCCTACTCATTCATTCATCTGTGCTTTGTTTCATTCATGCCAATTCATTGAACAAACAAGGACTGTGTTCAGTGTTGGAAAATCAGAGTCAGAGGATCAGCACCCCCTCCACCCGTGGTCTTCAGGTCTAAGGGAACAGACAGATCAGTACATGTCTAGGGTACAGGTCTAGTGTGTTGCCTGTGACACATCACCCTCATAGCAACCAATTATTGAGCACCCAGTGTTTGCCAGAGTTGTTAGGAGCTTTGTGTATGTGACCTCAGCTCTCACCAAAGTCCTGTAAGAGAGTTACTAATACCTACTAGGTCTCACAGCTGGTGTGTGGAACATTGAAATTGAACCATATCAAAGAGGATTAGTTTGAACCAGGTTAATAAGTAAGGGTGAAGTGTCTATTATATCATCTGCCACCTAGCTGAAAACCTTCACATCCTTCCCCATTCACGTCTGAGAATTCCACGCCCTCCTCCCATGCTGACATTCTCTTCCCCACTGCTCAGGCCCTCTTCATTTGTGCATTTTTGGTGCCCCTGAAATCACCACCTGCCTGGCTTCTCTGCCTCCAGGGCTTCACTCCCTTCCTCTTCTGCCCTGCACTAGCCATCCTGAGCCCCAGAGAGGACTCCCTTATCTCTCTATCCAGGGAAGCCAGACCAGCCACGGGAAGGGCTGATAGAAGAGCATTCCACTGGAATGTCCACCCATGAGGGCAGGGCACTTTGTTTTATTCACTGCCATATTCCCTGGGCCAAGAACAGTGCCAGGTATATATTAAATGCTCAATAAACGTCTGCAGAAGGATGGGTGAAGCTAATTCTAAGCAGGGCAGGAGCTCGAAAGACAGGAAAGAGTGTGATGTGAAAGAAGAATGAGAGAAAACTCAGAGCAGCTGGAGAGAGGGAGGGAGATTGGTGCAGACTGGGGTGGAGAGATAGGAAGGAGCCAAATTATTCAAAATCTTATAGGCCATAGTGTGACGGGTTTGGATTTTATCCATGTTTGATTGAGTCAGGAGTTTAAGCAAAGGGTGTTTTATATCTGTTCTAAGATCTTTTGGTTTTCATCTTTCTACAGTTGTCATTCCTCTGTAGAAACTTTGGTGTGTACACAAATACTCTATGATTGCCCTTACAGGAGGTACCTAGAAGAGTCAATTCACAGAGACAAAAAGTAGAATAGTGGTTGCATGGGCTGAGGGCAGGAGGGAATGGTAAGTTATTGTTTTAAGGGGTATGGAATTTCAGTTTGGGATGATTAGAAAGTTTTGGAGATGGATGGTGGAGATAGCTGTTTAGCAACACGAATGTATCTAGTACACTTAAAAACAGTTAATATGGTAAATTGTAAAATATTTTTCCAGAGTTGTTGTAAAGCACAAGTTATAAAACATGTATTTATTTGGTAGTGCCCCTGTTGCTTACCAAATGAAATTCACAGTACCTGACAAGGCAGAAAAGCCCTTGGTTGGACATTAACCTAGTATGCGAGGTACAGCATTGCATCTTGCACCAAACTATACCACTACCTCCAGACAAATCCCGGACTTACCAAATACAAAATACTGTTCAGCCTGTTGCTTCTGCTGGGAATTGGACTCTCACCCTGATCTTTCAGCTGCTCGCAATGTCCCACCAGTTCACTGTCACCTTCCCCAACCTCCTCTGTCCTGTCCCTGTGGCCTTGGGATCATGCCATCAACATGATGCTCCTTAACTAGGCAGTGAGTGTCCTGGGGACAGGGACACTGCTCCGGAGTCAGCTCTGACCTGGGGCCGAGCTCTGTGGGCAGGCAGTACATTCTCGAGAATTAGTGGAATTGACTAGCCACCATGGAGTACTGACTGTGATTGTGAACTGCATTCTGGTGAGACTCATCTGCCGCGTCTTCCCGTGGTACTATGGTCTGGGAGAAAATTCACGTATTTCATGAATGAAAAGGGCATCTCCCTGCCTCTTTACGACTACAGATAAGATTCTGAGCTTCATTTCTTCATCTCTAAAATGAGAATAATAATACAACCCTTACAGGATTATTTGGATTAAATGAGATGTAATTTGAAAATTAGCTGGCACAGACTCCACTATATAAAAAATGTCCAATAATGGGAGCTTGTGTTGCTTATTATAGTAGCTGTTAAGAAAACGGAAGCTTTTACATTATGTCCAGTTGTTATTTATCTTCTGAATTGAGTGACGTTTTCACAGTCTTTCTTACTAGATTATGCTGGCCTAACAAAACAATGTATTTCCTTAGTAAATCTCTCACACTCAACATGAATTCTTCCATATGATGTGGACATTTGATAAATATTTGCAGGTTGATCAATAAATTATTAGTAAAAATAGTCTTAACTAATTTTATAGATTTTTCCACATTTCTTCAGGTACATTTAAATATGAATCTATGAAACACTGAGATTAAACATTTTAAATACAAATAAGCATATTAAAATATGAAAAAGGTATAAATATTATAAGCATCCATAAAGCAAACATGTACAATAGGGGTTACAGTCAAATATTTCAATGTAATTAAAAGTATAAATTTTAAAAGCAGATAAGTCCAACTCACCTCTGTTCCCACAAAGAACTTTGTGCAGAAATCCTCTATTGGCTTGAGATGATTGACCAACCCACCTTCCAGATTCTGGTATGGGTTTATTTCTTCTGCCTTTATGGCTTTGCTCTGAGATAACACTTTATCTTTCAGAGGCATATGGAGAGAGGAACACAGCATTATGGTGAAATATCTTTTAAAATAAAATTAAATTGTATTCTCTGTCCCTTGACACACACATCTGCCCCATTCCTTCCCCAATATGATGGGCATAAGTCCAAGCATTTTGGGACTTCTAATTTAGCAGTGAAATGCTTTTTTCAAACCAAAGCTTATGCAGGACCCCTTGCATATAAAATCAATCAAAGCTGCATTGCTGTGCTTAAAAGCTTCCTGGGTAGGAAGGGGGAGACCTCTGACTACTTTTTCAGGGTCTCTAAAAGGTTTCATGGCACACAGTTTGAAAATCACTTCCACATATCTACCTCATTTCAGAATTATTTACAGTAAAAAATGGATACAAAATACATCCTTTGGGTAATATCACCCTTGATTTTTCTCTTATTAAAACTTTCTAATCAAAAACTCATGTCATTTTTATTCATTTGTCATCATATGGAAACATTTCAAATAATTAAAGATGGGCCGGTTAAGTGTCAAAATTTCTTTAACTTCTAAAAAAAAACATTCAAAATGTATTACTTGTTTGGAATAAGCACAGAATATAGGATATAATTTAATGTTTTTCTGATTAGCTTTGGTTTATTATTTATGAACGTCAATGATTGTATGATATGATAACTATAACTACACATGCAAACAGTAAGAGCATTAGCTAATCTGGGAGCTGAAATTCAAACATCATCTGGAACTTCTTTCTTTTTAAAAACATCTGATGTCATCTTGTTTTAATTCAAATGTCTCCTTAGGATCTAAAATCAATAGAAGGAAAAGCATGAGGAAAATAACAAAAAGCATTCATTATTACGTCTTCCAGAAATAACCGCTATTAAAATATTGGTATATTTACCTCTATTTCCTTTTTTGTGAATGTGTATATAAACAGATTCTTTTAATTAGATATCTAACTTTATTTCCTGCTTTTCTATTCTTCTAAAGATACACTTGGGCATTTTCCCATGTCACTTATTAGTTATTTTTTAAATGTGATATTAAATCTCTGGAAAGATGGCATTGAAATATAGGCCTACAAACTCTCCTCACCACATCTCATCAATACATCCCCTGGGTTATATCACCCATAGGAAAACAGACATACAGATGAAAACTAAAATAGGGGAAGAAAACTTCATGTATACTAAAAATACATATTGCACTTTCAAAAAACTTTAACATAATTCTGGACAAAAGTAAAAAATAATTATCATGATTTAGTTAACCAACACTTCCTTGCTTTGGGATCTACATATTTTGAAGACTCTCTTTTCCCCTTAGGTAAGACATTAAAAACAAATAACAAAGTAAGCCAAATATGAAAACAGACCTTTAAATAGCTGTATTACAAAATGGCAATCAACATTTCAGAAATAATTAGGTAGTCTATCACATTGTTCTTAATAAAATGTATTATTCATAATACATTTACAAAGAGTAAAAAGGTATTTGTATCTCTTTAATACATAAAGTCATTAAAATGTTTATTTAAAATTCTTCACTCATCTCTACATCTGTTTTTCTTTTAAAAAATAATGTATATAAATATATTAGTAGTATAGACATATATATAATTTGTAAATAATACATGTTCATTGGGGATATGTGCTCAAAAGTTTTTCCTGAGAGGGTGAAAAATAGAAAAGTTTGGGGTCCTCTGGTCAAACAAGGGCAGCCAAGAGCCTGATCCAGGGCTTGGTACTAGTAATGCTAAGGAAGAGGCAAATTGGGGATTGCAAGGAAGACCTAATTATCCTGAGTGAGAGACTGGACCTGTGGACCTGAGGTGACAGTAAGGGGTGACTCAAATTAGAGATTCTGTTCTGTATACATTGATTTTAAGGGAAAAGACAAGGTTCAAATCTAGGAGAAGGCATGAGGGAAGGGGAGGGGAGGATTCTCAACAGATGTAAGAAAGTAAACCAGGTTACCAAAGGGAGAATGTTAACAGGGGAAGTACACAGCTAAAGTTAAGAGTTTGAGGTACATTCATGACGAGGGGGCAGCAGCATGAAGGAGACAGGCGAGAGGACAGGGGAGAGGAATTGAAGAAGTTCATAGAAGAAAACAGAAGCCAAGGAAGCTAGGAGCTCCAAGAAAAGGGGCTTCATGGATAGTGTCTAAGGTGGTCGCGTCAAAGAGGATGAGACCAGAGAAAAATGTTATCATCAGCTGTGTTGATTCAGACTTGCCTGGAATAATTTGGGTATTTACTCAATTCAATGTCATCCTCAGAGGCCATGGATTTTCTGTCACCAGGGATAGTAATAATGGCAATTCATATTTATTAAATGCTTGCTACTTGCCAGGCTCTAAACTGTATGTCCTATATGAACCATTTCATTCAGTCCTTACAATAACTCCTGAGTTGGTGAAGTGTCAGTTGCCCTTCAATGATGAGTAAACTGAGACTCAGAGAGATCAGGTAGCTTGCCCAATGTCTCATGCATGGCAGCCAACATTTGTGGGTTGACAATAGGCTCTTCTTAGCTCTTTACATGCATTATCTCATTATATACTCACAATACTCTATGAGGTAGTTACCTTTACTAGTTAGTCCCCTTATCATCATCTCTCTTTTCAAACAAGTGGGAAAAAAAAAAGTAAGGCACAGAGAGGTAAAATAATTTGACCTGGTCAAATAATAAATTGTGGCATTGGGACCTAAACCCAGAGCATCAACTCCAAATCCACATCGTTAATTACTCTGTCATATTACTTAGAATTAACAGAGGCTGTGAAGGCAATTCCAGAAGAGGGATTCCAAAACAATTTAGAGCAAAGGCTTCCTCATTAGAATAAATATACAACTTCTTAAAAGGACTACAGTTGACTTCTAAACATGACTTTGAACTGTGTGTGTCCACTTGTACACAGTTTTTTTTTTTCACAAAAAATATTGGAAAAGCTTTTGGAGATTTGTCACAATTTGAAAAACCATTTTCTTTTCTCTAGCCAATTTTATTGTAAGAACACAATATATAATACATATAATATACAAAATACATGTTAAACAACTGTCTATGTTATCAGTAAGACCAATGGTAGTCTCTTAGTGGTTAAATTTTGGGAGACTCAAAAGTTACATGTGAATTTCTGTGCGGTGGTGGTCAGTACCCCTAACCCCCAGGTGTTCAAGGGTCAACTGTGCTTAGAAGGGCATTGACTTTTATGGATCCAACTCAGCAGGCATAGGGCGAGTGGCCTGCAGCCACTAGATGGCAACAGAGTACCAGACACTATGGCCTTGTGACAGAGAACCAAAGAGAGGTTCAATAAGCAAAATGTGGTCAAGAAACGTATAAGTGTACTCTGGTCAACATGTCTATGTCTGGCAGTGTGTCCAAAGGAGGTCCAAAACACCACAGTTAGATCTCAAAGTCCTACGAGCTAGCCATACACAAGAGGACATTGACATAGTAACTGCCTTGAGGATTAAGAGGCATATGTGATTAAGCAAATGAAATTTAATTCTCTCCAGGCCTTGTGGTATTGCCTGCAACATAGCCTTCTGAACATACACAGAGGGACATGACCAGCTATAGTCTCAGCTGAGGATCTAAAAATGTGTCCATTCCCTCTACAAACTCATTTGGCTAAACACGCCTTTCTCTAAGAAACATCCACAAAATGACCTGGCCTGGAAAGAAAATATTCATTTGATGTGGAGTATTTCTGTTTGATAACATTTGGTGCATGCTTCAAGATTTTTCATTTTAAACAAACAGATGGATGCAGGTATATATTTGTTACTTTTTTAGTGTCAATCTCCCCAGAATATAAGCCTTATAAAAGCAAAGACTTGCCTTTTCACAGCTGTATCCTCAGACCCTGGCACTTTGCAAGAATTTAATAAATGTTTTAAATAAACATAGATACATAAGTATACAGATAACAGCATAAAAATTATGCTTTAAAAAATTAAAGGATCACAATATTTCTAAGCAATGCTTTTGACCACATTTAGCTTTATGCAGCTACTCCTTGGTTTTAATTTTTAACTGTGCCTATTCTAAAATGAAATATAATATTCTTTAAGGAAAAAGGAAAGTCTCCTTAATATGAAATGGTAGCATATTTCAGGCAGTCTTCAGAAAGAGGTAGGCTAGGAGTCTGATACTTATAAAGAAATGAAGTATCAATGGAAACTACACTCACTTGAAGAACAATAAAGTTTAGATTCACTTGTTATAAAAAAAAAGAAGATGTAGTCCTATCTAATAATGAAGTTTTATTAAAACACTTTAGAGAGAATTCTGCTTTTGGCCCAGATGAAGCACCTGGGATTTGACTTAAGCTCTCTCACCTAAAACAACCTAAAAAATAGGCAAAATGTATGGAGTAATATTTTTCAAGACACTGACATCAGACCACAGAGGACATTGATCCCTAAAAAATGAGAGAAAAAAGAGATGACAGTTTTAAATCTAACCATATTAAAAATCATAGTAAATGCAGAAGCTCTAAATGTCCCAAGTAAAAGACAGATTATCATACTGGACTAAAAAAAGAAACAAGACCCACAAGAAATGCATGTCAAACAGAAACAAAAGACATGAATAGGTTAAAAGTAAAAGCATGAAAAAATATACTACATGAATGTGAACCAAAAGAAAACTGGATGGCTATAGTAACATTAGACAGAGTTTATTTTAGAGTAAGGGATATTACCAATTCATTAAGAGGACATAACAATCCTAAATACTTATGTATCTAGTAGTAGAGCTTCAAAATACATGAAGCAAAAATGAGAACTACAAGAAGAAATAGACAAATTCACAATTCTGGTCAAAGATTTCAATGCTGCTCTCTCAACAATTAATAGAACAAGGAGACTGAAAATCAAAAAGGATATAGAAAATTTAAAGAATACTGTCAGCCAAACTGATCTGTTGACATTGGTGGACCATTCCATCCAGCCACAGCAGATACACCGTCTCTTAAAGTGAACATGGCACATTTCCTAAGATAGACCAAGTACGGTCATACAAGTCTTATAAAATATGTTCCCTGATTACAATGGTATTAAC